ATAAACCAGATAACAGTGAGAATGAAGGAAGAGATTGCAAAACATTAAAAAAATTTTACAGTCACCGACCACCAAATTGTACTTGTTATTTTTGAAACTACTTGCCTTTGTTTATAACAGTAATATAATTTGCAACAACAAGCTCCTTATATACATAAATTGAGAAGAAACTTTTGAACTTTTAATGAATTTATTGTTAGATTCGTAAACCATCAGTAATTTCTAAGAAAATGAAGATGTACTCTATGTCTATTCCATTTCGAAGTATAGTAAACAAAAAGAAAATGAAAATTTAGTGATTGGTGCGGAAACAAGACCATATTTAAAAAATGCCAAGTTGAATGAAAGTGAAGTGAAATCATTTTCAATTCTGTGCGAGCTTTTTTTTGGTAACTGCAAGTTCACATATAATGATAAATTTCCACTGAGTGATCCATTTCTAAAACATGCTGAAGTTGCTGACATCAACTTGAGAACTGAAGTCTCATTTTCATCTGTTCTTACTTGATGAATACTTTTCCATCCATTATTGATGAAAAAATGTCTTACTCAAGTAGAAATTGAATTTTCCATGTATCAAGTAGATGATTTGAAAGAAATTGTAGATTTGAGTATTGATATGCATGGGAGAAATTGCCAATTAAAAAATATGAATGGGTGTATTAAATACAAAGTATGCCTTCTGTAATGCTGCTGTCTTAATAATACCTCATTCAAATGCAGCTTGCGAAAGAATTTTTTCTATTGTTAAAAAAAATCAGACGGAATTTCGACCAAATTTAGGTCTTAAAACTCTTGAAGCAGTTTTGATGAAAAAAAATATGCAGGCAAATGAAGAACTGTGTTTATAAAAAACATTCTCAAAATCAGAACTTAAGCTTGCTAAGCATGCTACATATAAATCTTTGCATTCATAAATTATGCGTATTTTGTTTAATACTTATATGTATCATTCTTGGTTATTTTAAATTTTTATTTCCCTGTAGAAATCATATCCAGAATAAAGATATGATTTATAGCTTCTGATTTTTCTATGATTAGTAGTGATTTGAAGTACTTTTTATTAGTGAATGCTTGAGGAGTTAAAAAAATTTCTAATTAAATGTGCATATAATTTACAAGGTATATTTTTAATTATTCAGTTTTATATGTATATGGATTTTAAATGTAATAAAATTTACAATTAATTTAATTTAAAATTAATGAATGGTTAATTACAACATATGCTACGCACACATTTTCAAAGTTGTAAAAATGTCGTTCACGCGTTGACTACTGACAAGGTTTGCTGAAGGTTGGAGTCTATGATTAATGCAAGATTTGAATTAAATTTAAAAAAAAGCAGTTTTTTTCCTTTAAACTGTTATTTTTTATTGAATTGTAAAGTACACAGGATAGTGTTATGTATGGAATAACACATTGGGCAAATAACCTCCACGGCTTTGCTGTTACATAGGCACTCTTTTGTCGAAATTTTCCATGACCATTTTACATAAATGTGGCTGAATTTTGTTGATGCACAGTTGAATTTCCTACTTCAATGCATGTGTGCTTGTGGGCTTCTTAAAGAAATCCAGTGGTCTTAAATCACACAATCTAGGGGAGTGATTCCCATCACCTAAACTAGAGATTACACAGCCAGAAAATTTCTCATGCTGTAATTAAATTGTTTCATGGACTGTATGGCATGTAACACAGTCTTGTTGAAACCACATGTCGTCCACATCAGTATCATCCAATTTAGACAGAAAGAACTGTGTTATCATCTCGCAATATCCAGCACCAGTAACATTGACTTTATGGTCCAATGATGCCTCCAGCCCAAATTCCTCACCAAACAGTGACACTTTGAGGATGCATTTGTTTTTTTTTACAGTCACATGTCGGTTTCTGGAACCCCAAATGCAGCAGTTTGGACAATTAACAAAGCCATCAAGGTAAAAATGGGCTTCATCGAAATTTTCGAACTGTGGTCGCCAGACTTTCATTAGTTTTGAAATATTTTTCAATAATGAAAACACATTGTGCTATCGTGTAATGCTTCTTTTCGAATACCCTAAACTATCAGATATTAAATTTTATTTTAATAAGGTTGCCAACATGTAACTGCACAGATAGTGCCAAATTCAAATCTTGCGTTAATTTTGCAACACCCTTTATGTCACACAGGGCTGATGCTAGGCATTTTCCCACTTGATACAATCTGTGTGGATCTTAAATTTTGCTGCCTAGTGCCTTCCTAAATTCTACTTCCAGTACCTATCCTAAATTCTAAATGTTTTGCCATTTCTAGATTTTGTTGCTCAGTTGTCACTAAATTAAAAAAAATTCTCCCTCAAAATTCGCCCCTTACCATATATCAGTTCAATTTTATTCTGAATGTTCATGTTACTAAAGAAATTAAATTAGCAGCTTTTTGTATGCAATCTAAATGCATTTAGTTTTTTAGAATAACAATAACAGATATCTGTAATTAAATCCAAAAATTCTAAAATGAAGAGGAAAAGTATTGAAGAAAAAACTGAATATTTAAAGGGAAAGTTATTCTTCAAAGATATGTACAGTTATTTTTATGTAAATTAACAAGTTGTTTATAATTTCAGCCTTTACTATAACTTTCCCTTTCTGTTTTCTCACTAGAATGCAAATCAGTAAGATAGTTTTTAAACTTGAGGATTTTGGATTGTAAGACGATGTGTTTCTGGCTTCCTTTTGCATACTACATTAGTTTCTGCGAGCTCTGATAATTTGTAGTTATTCATCTTTGCATTATTGCTGCAGACATTTCTATTTGTTATGATAATAGAGTTATTGAGCCAACATAAATTAAAATTAAATTGTGTCGTCTTTGACTGCTAGTCTACATTTTCAGTGTAAGTTTGACTGTTCCTGTTTACTTACATCACCACGAGCTATAGCTGATTTTATTAGCATAAGCTTTTATTAGCTTTTATGTTCCAAGTTCTTTTTAAATAAGAGGTTTATTTAAAACTATCTAACTTAGGTACTTGTAGATATGGCGATAATTTGCATTACATCTGACTGGGGTTCTGGGCTATTTAACTTTTACCAGATCAAGTAAAACCTCACAGGTACATTGTGGAGAGATTGACGAATTAGGAGATGAAGCTTGCAGAAACTAGCGAGAACATTTTCATTTTTATTATTTTTTTTATTTTGAACTCGTACAATCTCTCAGTGCACCACAGATGTATGCCACTTACAAAAGTAAGTTAACTAAAACATTAAATATTATATGTATAAGTAAAATTAACAAAAGCAGAGAACAGCAGTCTTAACAAAAACTGAAAAATTTACTGGTCGAGTCATGCTGAACTTTTTCAAATTATTCTGCAAGCATAATATAGGGCCATCAAAAGTAGGGCAGGAAAAATCAAATGTTCCACATCTTGAGGTTTCCTTATTTGAAACAGATTTGTAATTGTTAGAAAAGATACTTAAAGAGAAGGAAATTGGTATAAATTAGCCAAAGTGTGTGGGAAGGCTTCGAGTTAAAATGCCGTATAAATATTTTGTTGTGCATTGCTTAAGAATTGTCATAAATTACCTGTATTTTAAATTCTAAAATGTTATTAGATTGTGATTTTAATGTTGGTTTTTTAACAAATATTAAAAAAAATAAATAAAATTTAATAGTGGCCATGTAAATCTATAATCACTAACAGTAACTATCTAATTTGATTATTTGCAACTAACTGCTCACCCTTTATATTTCTAACTAACCCTCGTCTATCTCTCCATACTAGAGTGAGTGATTGCCTTTCATTAATCTTTACCATGGTCACAGGGGGGGGGACAATAATAATGTAAAACTTATTCTTGGTATGTAGGAGGCTTAAAATTATACAAAGCAATGTATCACCTCTGGTGCTTTAGTGGCTTATTGGAACCTTAAACTATATTCCCTGGGTTACAACCCTGTAACTCTACATGAAGCTATGACACTAATGACATGAGACAGACAGAGCATAACTAACTTTCAAAACTTGCCAACTGTACTGTACCTGTATCAGCCTATCAGGTTTCTTCAATCAGCAGGTCTGTCTCTAGGCATGCAACAGCTTCTGTTACGGATCATGCTGATTGTGATTTTTCTTCTAATTGTAACCTATGCCATTTGACGTAAAATCTGTGTGCTATTTATTAAACCTCTAGACCAAATAAGTGCATGTGCATGACAAAATGAGACGTAAAAGGAAAAAAAAAAAAAAGTGTAAAGCTAACTGTTAGAAAAACGTAAGCAAAATGGCACTAATCTTCTTTAAAATATATCCAACTATTATAATTGTAAAATATTCAATGCTGCTTGATAAATTTTACAAAGTTGATTTTATTCTCAAATTTGTTTTATAATTATGTTCATTATATTTAATAAAACGAATCTATTTTATTCTTAGCATGGTATTACAAAAGTGAAGTTCAGGCATAGATAATATAATTATTCGAATTTATTCAGTTCCCATTTGCTGATAGGTCCTTAATTTTTTTTCAATAATGGTCCTTAAAAGTACTTAATTTCCATGTGCAGAAATGTGTATGAATTTATATGTATTGTTACGCACACATGTCTGTGTGTACGAGAAGAAATGTACACATTGACACACATATATACGAAAGTACATTAACATGTATAGACAGTAAGACATTTTAAGCAAAAAAGAATATGTGAGAAATTTTTACCTTTATGATTGTAATCCATAAGAAGAAATATCGACATATGCATAAAAATTAAGATATTTATTCATAAGGGAGGGAAAACAAACACTCAGAATTATTCATTACTGCTGCATCAACAGCTTAACTATAATCTAAAACATGATGCAGTGTGAAAACCTGTATTTCTATGCCCTGGAACTTTTTGATCATTCGTACATTACTTTGTTTGGAAAGGTCTTCAAGTATCTCTTAATATTTTTATTATTTGAATGATTTACTCTTCTCCATTAAAACATTGTTCTCTAATCATTCATCCTTATTAGACTCTAGCAAATCTCCAGTTGTGAAAAATGAAAGTAAAAGCAGCACAAATAAAGACTTTAAGTCACAGTCTTCCTGTGAAAGAGAAGGATCATCTGAACGGCACCAAAGTAATCATGACAGGAGTACTAGCGAAGTAAGTGGACACCTTTCTCTGCTCATGCTCATTTAAAATTTAAAATTTTTAAATTATATTTTCTGTATGATCTATATTAATACTCAAACACAATATTTTTGTCTTTTAAAACTCTCTTTAGTAATGTAAAACTTGATCAAAAAGTTCCGTGGCTTTTTAATGTTGATGCATTGTAATACCATCAAAGTATTTTAAGTATGCATTATTCTACATTTTTGTATTTCTGATTTGTGCAGGCTTATATTACATATTAAAGCTATTATAAAGGCTTAATTGCATTAAACCATGAATCTTAAAAAATCTTTTGAATTTCTTAAACAATAAAATATAGTTTCTTTGTTTGTCAAAGAACATTCAAAGTATTTATTTAGAGACACAGCAGTGAGTAAGCTGATACAGTTGTTGTACATAGAGGTTTTTAAATTGACATACAAGGTTGTCATTGAGCTGATACTTGAAGTTGAGTCCTACAACCCTACAAGATAACAAGTGAGCTATAACCATATCTGATAATAGTATGACGGAGTCTTGTGAAGGTTAAAATGAATTTTTTATCTGAACCCAACTTTTAACACAAAAGGCTCAGTTTATGTTACAGATAAACCTCTACTTTGGCGACACGAATTAAAGATTAACAGACACCTAAATTTAAATGTTGATAAAGTAGTCTAAGACTACCCAATCAAATAAATAAACTGGAAAGTTTGAAGAATTTGGCTGTGAGAGAATGCAAAAGCTGAGATAATTAATTACATTTAGATTGAGTGAGCGAAATCTAACAGCACAGCAAGAGTTCCAGAAACTCTCTAAAGGTCTGTTCCCACTGAGGTTTATCTGAGCTAACAGACACAACTGATGTAGCTGACCCATCTTCAAAACCAGTTTTCTCCCATAGGGCAGCAAGTTGAAAAATCTGAACTGCAGGCATAGCGGAACTAGTCGTCACATGGAACTGACTTCATTAGCTCAGATAAACCCCAGTAGGAATGGCCCTTAAGATCCCAATCTGCCATTTAAATATACTTGAAGCTAATTTGCATTAAAAAGTTAAAATAAAGATCATGCTCATAGTAACTGATTAATTATCATCAGAACTTTACAGACATTAAAAATCACTAAAGACAATCATAACTCTACATTAAAAATGAAAACTTCTTAGAATCGGTAATTTATTTTTCCTTTGAGTCTTTATTTGCTTTAATAGTAATTCTAATGTCCCTCTGCCTAATTTACAAGATGGTATAAAAGTTTAAAATTCTTAATGGAAGTTAAGCATTTGCCACTAATGCAAGATTAAGGCAATCATCAGCAGCCTGAATCTGGGATAAATAATGAAATCATTTCCTTTGGAGTTTTAATTAGTAGAAGTAATTTAAAGATTTTTTAATGTGTAACTAAATATATAAGAATAGAGAGAAGAGACAGAAAAAATTAGAGAAAATTTTCAGAATATCTTTCAGATGCATCTTTTAGATACAGTACCCACTGTTTATTAAACTCACTGGTTAATAAAAATCAGTCACTTATAACATTCAAATTTCAAGTCATTTTAAAACATATATATATAGGCTGTCTTGTAAATGCTGCGACAAACTTCTGGGGGAGGTAGGGCACATCATAAGGATTAAGAATTGCATAGGAACCCATGCTAGGAAATGTCATAGGTAAGTAGTAACATGGCAAAAGAAACAAGAGTGATTAATTTGAAACATTTATTGGACATGGATAAAAATAGTGTACGACAGCTTGAATGTTCGACAGCAATCAACTCCTTAAGATTGAAAATGAAATAATTTTTCACCTTGTGATAAAATAAAGGTACAGAGTTCTGAGATTAGACATACAATGGTATTCAGAATTTAAAAATGTCGAAGAAATTAACTATATTTAAGGATGTTGGATTAAAAATTGTCTTTCTAACTTAAACTGAACCTTTTCGTATAAGCAAATTAGAGTATTGTGTTATATAATTATGACACAATTATATTTCATAATTTTTATTTTGATCTTAGTGCAGATTGTGCAAAACCTTTTTCCCTCCTTTTGAAGTGTTATTCTAAAAGACTATTTCCAATGGAGAACCAAGATAGACATTATTATTTTCCCTTTTATTTCTTATTGGGAAAGTTTGGCATACTTCCAAATATCTGGAATGGGTTAATAATGTATTCCAAGGTACTGCTGTATTTTATTCAAGTTCTTTGATTGCAATTTGATGAAAAATCGTATTTGAACTCTGCTTCATTTAATAATGGAATCCAAAAATAGAAACGCAGAAAGCACATGCCTCCATATGTAAGTAATTAAGCGTAAAGCGTAACTGCAAATACTATAAATTTGTCACAATTTACAAAATGTATTACAGTATCAAATTATGCTCAGGTTTATTAAAAATACTTGTAAATTCAAAATACCGTAATTTCGCGCGTATAGTCCACGGACTATCTGTGTTTAAAATGTGAATTTTGGATAATATGCTGGTTGTTCATGGTTAAAATCGTTGAAATTTAAAAAACACGCTGTCGTGAACTGCCGATGATCAAATATAAAAAAAGCGAGAGATTCCAAGAAAACATTTGTATATATCGTATCGATCGTCAGCTCGGTTTTTAGGAGCCTTAGTAGCAAGTACCTGGAGTACGAGAAAAAAAGCGTGAATCGTTTACTTATAGTGTGGTTTGGTAACACCGAGTGAGTGGGGTTGAAGGTCACATTTCATTACCACTTATCATGAGGATAGTTGCACAGTATTTTGTCTTTCATCTTTGATAACGTTGATGAAACATCGCCTTTTTTTCTATTTATACTTAGTTCTTTGTTTAATACATTAATATTGCCGTATTAAAAAACGTAATTTCGAACGTAGAGTCCGCGGACTATATGATGATTTTTGAAATGTTTTTTATATAAAATCGTGTCTGCAGACTATACGTGCGAAATTATTGTAGGTATTGTAGGTATTGAGAATAATGGTACTTTTTATAAGCAGAAACAGGAGAAAGAAATTTTGATGTAATTTGCTTACTTTTAATAAATCTGTGGCTCATGGAAAAAATGAAAGTCATTGCCATAAAAATATTCATTAATACTTCAATTTCTAATGCAGTACAAAGTCTGAGATCTGGCCGTCCAATATACGGAATGATCTAAAATCCGGATCTCAAAGCCACCACCACCTTTTATTTTTTTGGTATGCTTTATGCATGCGCGTTTGATCCCCCTCCTGAGCACATAATAAAACACATGGAGAGTCCCGATTCTTAATTTCACTTTGGCGCTAAATAAAATACCTCATTATTGAAGAAACAATCATTTTAGCATAAATTTGTATGATCGATAGTTAGGCTCCATTGCTTTGTATCTGCTTAACAATACATCTCAAACCAAAGCATTCTACATAGATACATCATTGATTTTACACCTACTACTGTTTTATATCCCTGACGCCCCCTTTCAAACCTGGTGAATCATTATTTATTATATTTTGCTTTCATCACCGCACATTTATCAGCACATGACAACTTGAGTAATGACTCGTATAGCAATTCCTAAACAATTTTTTCATTAGTAATTGAATATGGTAACCTTTTATGTTGACATTATGCTTGGTGATGATTACAGATTTAAGTTAAATGTGCTAAGATATGTTGACGAGGAAAAATTTAACAAAAATGTCTTTCCATATGCTAAAAATAGATTTTCTTAATGATACTTATAGGCCAAAAGATTATATTTAGTCCTAGTTGAATTAAGATTAACTGATTTGTTATTCACATAAACCCAGAGCCAGCGCCAGAACTCGTATGGCTGCACCAGGTGGCAGAATTTAGGGAAGATAAAAGCAGGCACTTGGTTGCAGAATTTAGGACTCATAGAGACTACATCAGGCAGCAAAATATCTAGTGCCAGCACTCAATAAGCAATATATGTGGGAATTTATTTATTCAGGACTCAGATAAGCCTTAATATTGTGCAAGAAATAGACATACGTATAATAAATAATTAAACTAATACAATTCCGGCCTAATTTTCTGAGTGCAAGATAGAAGCAACATAAAATTTAGCAGAACAACTTGTTTTTAGTCGCCAGTCTCGGTTAAATTTTGTGATGATAACCATGAATTTTAAAGATTTTTGGATATCGCAAAACCAGAGGTGAAATTTTCCAATTAACGGATTTTTGTAAAGAAATGTGGTTTGTTTGTTTATGTAATTACAGCAAAGCCTCGAGCGCTATCTGCCTACTGCCTAAGGGGAGGGATACCTTCATGAAGGACTTTTCAAGGAAAACTGTCTCGTATACATGTTACACGTGGTAAATTCACGGAAACATCAATGCAGCCAGTCCATTTGCAGGATTCGAACCTGAGTCCGAATTACCGGTGTTCAGTGATCTTACCGCTGGTAGGCCCAAAGAAATGGGGAGAACCAGTAATAAATGAAGCTGATATAAAAGATGTTTTTTATTGTGATGACAATGCTCCTCAGTCATCAATCAATTAATGGATGGCAAAATCTGTAGTATGGTTCTAAATCCAGAAAATAGTGCTACCAATAGTGAAGAAAGTGACAGAGAGACTACTGAAAACGAAAAAATTTTGATTGACTAGTTAGTCGGGATTCTCGACACAGCAATTACAGGGGAAAAAAAAAAAAAGAAGGGAGTATAGTTCTTTGTGCATTGTTAGATTGTCTTGAGGAAAGTAGAGCCTTTTTAAGATGTTTGTAATTTTTTCGAACCCCCGCCTTTTTTTTAGTGGGACATATCGTCCCATTAGTCCATTACTTTTGGAAAATATTTCCCATCAGTTCTAAAATAACACATATGAATTAGTTGAACAAATATTTTTAGGAAACTTTTACATAATTTTACATGTGGAAAACAGTAAAACAGTCATTACACAATGGCACACTACATGTTCTGCAAACAGTTCTTTGTCCGCTTCTCGATCTTTCTTTGTGAACATCATCTTGTACACCTTCTCCTTTTCTGCTCGACA